TTTTCTTTCTATGTAAAAATCTTTATTTCTAAAGGGAAGCGTACACAGGAAAATCTACAAAACAACAAACAGACTTAAGACTACATCTTTACAGACTGACCACACAGTTGGTAATGAAGATTCTTCTTTCTTCTTGACCCCTAGAAGGAAATCACCTGAATACATCAACCAATGATTGTTAGTAAATAGGCTGTAGTTTCCCAGGCTTTCTTCCCATTGGCTCCGTGCCAGGTTCCCTTCCAGGTCAGGCTAAACAATAGCACACAAGGTAAACACATTAACCCTATAATGACTGAATTTAGACCTTGCAGCACACATATTTCCAACAAAGTGGACAAATGCTGATCTGGTAACACATGTGATTTGGGCCTCCGTTGATAAGGAGGCATCCAAAATCACGCCCAAACTCTTCAATGTTGGCGCTGGTGATAATGGCGCCCCGTCAAGAGGTGGAAGTTATCGGTTAGCATCCAACTACTCGCCATAGTCCTTCCAGAGTGTCTTCTTATTTATTTTAAGGTACAAGCCTCAAGTGGCTCCATTGCTTTAGGGAGTATACCTCTTGCAATCCTGAATATTAACATCTCCTGATGGGGTAACCTATTGTGCTGACTGTGTAAAACCTGCTTATTGATTTATTAAACTAGTCCACACGTTCTCATGGAATGTAATCTTAATGCCAAACAAATGTTTTCTATCAGAGACTGTAGTCACACTAAAAAAAATCCTTAAGGTGTGGGATAGCCCCATATAGCAGTGGAAAGCCCATATAGATTCTTTGTACCACAGATAAATCCCCCAGCATCTTCAGTCAAAGCGTCTTAGGTACCAGGGGTGGAGAGGCCTCCACTTGGAGCCCTGGAGAGCTGCAGCTGATCAGAGCAGTAATGCTCCCTCTAAGCTGCTGAGTCCTGTGAGCAAAAATTCTACTTTGTGAGCTACTGGTATTAAAGATGTGAGCGAGCGATTTGGCTGCTGCATAAATTAGTCTGCTCTGGAGCCATCCTTCCTGAGCTAGGAGAAAAATGTGTGAGCCGGAAGCTAAAAAACTGCGAGCCAGCTCACACTAACTCAGCTTAGAGGGAACACGAGTGGGCTACGTGTTTCGATTCTGAGCCAAACTCTGTATAAAGCAGCTTCATACGTAAAGATAGCTGGGAGCAGGACTGAGCAGAGACCTCTGCCTGAAATCTTGGAGAGTCTTTGCCTGTCAGAGAGCAGACAATAAAAGAAGTATTCTTTGACTTTGTACGTTAAGAAGTTTGTTTCCTTGAGGTATTTTACGTGTCGTCATTAGCTCCCTGACTTAGTTTTGAACGTCAAGTTTTCATTTGCATGGAGTGGTGTTTTCTGTTAGTATCCTTTACTGAGAACCTGGGATAAATTTTGTGATGAAACACCCCCAACCAGGGCTATTTTTGGGCAGGAACGCACAGGAACGGAGTTCCGGGTGGCTCCTGAGTTGGCCACGCCCAGCAGGAACTCATTAGCATAATAGGCCACACCCAACAGCAGAAACTCATTAGGATTGGCTACATTAGGGGTGTGTGGCCTAACATGCAAAGGAGTTCCTGCTCCAAAAAAAGGCCCTGGGTTTTGACAACAAACAAGGTAAACAGAATAAGAAGCAAAAGGTGGGTGTGGCTGGATGACCACACTTCTGGTAATATGGGGGTGCGGCCTAATGTGCTAATGAGCTGTGGCGTCAGGGTTGTGGCTTAATATGCTAATGAGTTTCTGCTGTTGGGTGTGGCCTATTATGCTAATGAGTTCCTGCTGGACTTTTTTTACAAAAAGAGCCCTGCCCCCAACTAAATAATACAAATGCTTAAGTAAATATAATGTGCATTCCTCCTCAACTTAATGTGGTAAGTTTGTTGAAAGAAACCTACACTGTTGTTTAGTAGCATAGTAAAAGAAAAATCAAACTGAATTTGATGATAAGTTAGTGATCAAATATAATTAAACCAATGTACCAAAAACAAAACTGATGTTACTGTTAATGCTTATTCACATGTACTTTTTTTGTTAATATAGTTGTGCCCAGTAACATTAACCCTCTTAAGTTTATACCTGTGCTCATTATATTAAATAAGAAAATATCTTTTTCGTTCTTTGGATTTTGAATGTTAGTCTTTGAAAGTTAATTTAAGCAGTTTAATATGGCATAACTAACTTATCAGAAATTCTTTTAGGAAAACTCTGAAATAACTATGCTTTTCTATGTAGCGGTACAGCTTTATTGGTGCTTATAAATGCTTAATGGTGTCTGCAAGCTGCTGTTTTTAATCAACTTTCCTAAATTTCAAACATCTATATTTTACTCTCTTATATGCTTTTAACTAAGGTATAGTAGATGCATTTTTGCTTCAGTACTAATTCAAGGTGTAATATTCATCTCTTTAGAAGACAAAAAACATTTTTGTTGTTGTGCATGCCTAGTGTTTTGTATGTTGTATATTGCATTCAGTATATTTTTTTCCTTCTCACCTATCCACAATGCAATGCCGTTCCCATGATGCACCTCTGCTTGCTGTTTACCTGTATGTTAATTCGCTTGAATCCCATTGGCCCACTGCCATCATGTGCTCGCTGCCTGTTATTAAAAGACTCAGTCGACTGCCAAAGCAATGAAGCGACCTCTCGAAGCAACTGTAGATCTGGTACTTTGACCTTTCACCTTTTGCTTTGCATGTAGCTTTTTCCAAAATGCAAATAATTTTAATGTTAACTGAATTATCTTGTATTAGTAGTTTTATTTTTTTAAAGAATCAGTATTTAGCCATCTCATTGTCATATGTAGTTGTTCCAAAGCAGCTTAACTTCTTCCTTTAACGTGGTTTCATTTTAAAGTATATAAAAGTTGAAATGAGGAAAAAAACTGCCTTTGTAATTGAAGATGCTCATGCTATACTAATTAACATAGCTAACAATGCTGTTATTTAACTCTTTTTGAAAAATTACGTAATGTGATACAAGTGCTGTTTTTCTCCTACAATTTTAAGTTCTGTTTTAAAACAGAACTTTTGCTTTCTTTAAGCTCCCTTTTGTCTTGAAAAAATCCCCCCCCAAGTTATCGTGGTGCTATAATTTTTAGTTTAATTGTACCATGCTTTTTTACTATCAGTAACAAAAAAGTGCTATCCATTTGCCATTGCTGCTGTTTTGAACTAATGTGCATGGCAAGGCATCTTCAACAGATTTTAAAAACAGTTACCATGTTTTTCTTAAAGAAAACTTTTTTAAAGTTAGAGACCATCTCTTGTAGGCCCCGTTCACCCTCACTGTGTTTTTATCCCCTTCGCATTTACAGGCCTTTCCTCCCGGCGTCCTTCACCCTTTACCAAAGAGGCAAGCTATTGAGAAAAGCAATGGTGCCAGTGCTGTTTTTAATCCCAGTTTCTTGCACTACCAACAGGCTCTAGCTAGTGCACAACTGCAGCAACACGCAGCATTTTTTCCAACAGGTATGCCGTTTTATAGAGTAAAAAAAAAAATTGCCATAAAACTTCTACAGCAAAGAAAGTCCTGTGTTGCCAATTCACTATGCTGCCCACCTGAGTAATTTGGCACAGAATTGTTTAGGTTGGGAAATTAGCAAACAATTTTGTTTTGAGTATCAGGCCTTGAACAGTCTAAGAATGCTAAATAGAAGGTCCCCAAGTTCAAGCCCCAGCATCTCCAGTTGAAAGGATCAAGCCGTAGGTGATATGAAAGGCCTCTGCCTGAGACCCTGGAGAGCTGCTGCCAGTCTGAGTAGACAGTACTGACTTATTTATTTATTTATTTATTTTGGGATTTATATCCCGCCCTACCCATGCGGCCCACTTAGATGTACCCAGGGTCTGATTCAGTATATGGCAGCTTCATGTGTTTAAGGAAGTACTTAGCCTTGCTCTTTCTCATGTGTTGTAGCAGCCTCTTGAACATGGGACTTGGATCTCCTCCTGAAAGGTTTCTGTGTGTGCAAGTGGAAATGTGGGGGAAAACCTCACTCTAGCCCCCTGCGCTAAGTTAAACGTGACATATCCTGAACTGTTTTTCCACTTGGGCAAGACATTGTGCAAGCCATTTCTGGGCAGTTTAAGATACAGGGAGGAAAGTGCTAGTTGTTACAAAAGATCTAACAAAAGCAGAACTGTACCAGGTCTGTTTATGTGTGATTTCCCACAAGCGCTGCTCCGCGCTCACGCTTCTCTTTGCCCCGATGGTACGTGTCAGTTTCACCCAAGCTGCTGTGCATCCGCATTTTGCCCCATAGCTTCGCGCAGTTTTCCCCGCGTCTACTCAATCCTGTTTTGAGGATTGTGTGAAATTGACACATACCATTAGGGGCAAAAGGAAGCAGTGAGCGCGGAGCAGCGCTTGTGGGAAATCACCCTATGTTTCTGCTTGTGCATCTTTGGATCCAGGCTTAGCTATTGTCTGCTCTACTTTTGACAGATTTTCTTTCTACTTGAAGTGTGTTCTACAGACACCTTTCTACCACAGTTTTATTGGGAATTGAGGACCCTGAGGGAGAAAGCACACTTAGTCAGATTTGCCAGGAGTACGCTAAGTGCTTGTAATTACTACCTCTGTCCTTGCAAGTGTATCTTGCATGATATTTTCTGCTTCTGAGCCAACACCACACAACTCCAACTCCACACAGATCTCCCTGCTAATACTTGAACTCTTTTGATGTTCCTATAAAGTATCAAAGTGATAGTTACCCTAAGACAGAAATTATAGAGGCAGGAAGACCATGTGAGTTCCCTGTCCAAAATCTGTGATCAGGCAATGGCAGAAAGCAGAGGTTTTGAAGAATCTCTTAACCCTCTTCAAACAAAACTTTGTTCTATACCCTTTCTCTATTCCTCTTCCTCTTTGCCTTCTGCCACCTGTATGCTCGTCAACAGCGCTTCAAATTATCCAAAACAAAATTGCAGAAGCAGAATAAATTATGGAAATAACCCATTTTGCATAATTTATTCTTAGAGAATAATTTGCTTTGTTGGCACAAAATCCAGACTCATTTTTGTGCAGAATACACATAACTGGTCCTGATGGAAGATGGAAAGGTGCTTTTAACATGGCGAGTAATGCTAAGTGGTGTGGCGGCGTTAATTTTCCTAACCATGCAGTTTGTTGTGCAAATATCTCTCCTGGTTCTTTGGTCAGCCACTGGTGTTTAAATGCATTAAAATGTGGTTCATCTTGAATGAAACACTGGAGGCGATTTCGCACTAGAGCTGCCTCGCGGCGCAGCCGCTGTTTGCCCCAACACTATTTGTCAATTTCACACCTGAGGCTGCGGGGCTGCATTTGACCCGCGGCTTCGCCCGATTTCCTCCGCAGTTTCATGATCCTCAAAAACCAGGATCACGAAACTGCGGAGGAAATCGGGCGAAGCCGCGAGTCAAAATACAGCCCCGCAGCTTTGGGTGTGAAATTGACATGTTTGTGTCGGGGCAAACGGCGGCTGCGCCACGAGGCAGCTCTAGTGCGAAATCGTCCTAGCAAGATAAGGAGTTCCATGGTCACTCTGTGCTTACTTCACAAGGCCATGCTAAGCAGATTTGTACCTTTCAGCTGAAGTCAGTGAACTTAGAAGGGTGTAACTCTGCTCAGGAAAAGCGCTGCTAGACTTTAGAGCTAGTGTGGACATTGTTGCAGTCAGTTAAGCCCCATAATAAACTGAGTATTCTCGTAGTATAGCCACTCAAATAATGTAATGCAGTGTCTGAAATTGAGGACGCATGGAAGTCTGCCTATTTTTCTGATTGCAGAAAAAGTTCATGTTATCGCACGTTCTTCAGACATGGAAAAATAAATGGAAAATCTTTCAAAAATTATTAGGTTGGGTTGATCTCTGTCCTACACAGTTTGTGTCCATGCATGTCACCATGATCCCTAGGACAGCTTTTTTTGGGTACTCGGAGGAGTTCCCTGCACCTGTTTCCACCAGAGGAAAAACTGGTTGAGTCCAACCCAGTGACACTATCAGTTCTGAGAATGTCATTAACTAAGAAAATATCATCAGGGGTTTTACCAGTAATTCCTCCTGGCAGTGTATTTTGTATTATTTCTGGGGAAGAAGGACAGCATAACTCATAACTCATACTTTCACGTGGACAGAACCACTCCCCCTAACTGGCTAGTAGTATCAGTTTGGTCAGCCAGGTTGGTCTGAAGCAGTACAACAAATTTAGAGTCCAGTGGCACCTTCCCACGATTAGAAAAGACACCTTTAGACATTTATCTGCTAGTCTGACATATTTATTGATTTACAACTTGTTGACCCTATAACCTTACCTGTTATTTAGTGTCACTTTGCATATTTTGATCATCATCCTGTTGCATGTTCATTTGCTGTTCATTTTCTGGCTATAAGTTTGAACCTTGCCTGCCATTCCAATGTATTTGATAAAGTGTGCCTGCACACAAAAAGCTCATAGCTTGAATAAACCTTTGTTGGTCTTAAAGGTGCCCCCCTGGACTCTAAATTTGTTGGCTAGTAATGTCACATGTCAAAATGGCAATTCAAGCAGTAAACCTTTTTGGGTGATTGCGCTGCCAAAACCTACCTCAGGATTAAACTAGTCAAGAGACTGGGAAATCTGCGGTCAGATTTTCCAATTGCTTTTTAAAGCGAATCTGCAGCCACGCATGGGTTCAGTTTAGACACAGTAAAGAATGCAGGCTTGTAACCATTGTCTGGTGCATCAACAGCTTATGAATATAAATATCCATATATTCATAAAGCTTTATTAGTTTTATTTGTACTTTTTGTAGGAAAAAAACTCTGCATGTCCATATATTTTTTTAATCTTATTCATCAGGCAGGCAGGCAGGAATCTTTGCTATCTTTGCTATCACATGTAGCCTAGGACTCCTGACCCTCGGATTACCAACTTTACAGAGTTCTCAAAACGTGGTTGCATGAATAGGAACAGTGAGCATTACAGTAAATCTTTACTGATTTTTACGATGCTGTTGTACCTTTTAAGATATTCTTTGAAATGCAGAGGTATTTTACAGGCTTCTTTGCTTTGCTTTCCATTTTTCATTGAGAGCCCGAAGAACACGTCACTTTGTTCTTTGGCCTCATCATGAAAACTATTGGGAAAACGTTGCAACATTTGGTGAACATTGTAGGAGGCAGGTAGTGAGTCTATGCGCTGAGACCCCCGGACTGTGGTGTCCTCACCAATCTAATTTACCATCACTAAGCATGTGTCCTATGTACAGTGACCCCTAAAGCTTTTCACACCCTGACTGGGATGGCCCGGAGTAGCCCGATGTCAGATCTCGGGAAGTTAAGCAGGGGCAGCCTGGATTAGTACTTGGATGGGAGACCACTAAGGAGGACTCTGGGTTGCTATGCAGAGGAAGGCAATGGCAAATGATCTCTGAATGTTTCCTGCCTGGAAAACCCTAGGGGCTTGTCATAAGTCGTCGGCTGTGTCCTGACAGGCCTTTCCAATCACCACCAAGCACGGATGGTTACTTTCCATATCATGTTCACCCCAGTAACTACCAGTTCTCAGTTTTGTAAAGTTCTGGTGCTTAGCCTTCAAGCACATAGCCTTGCTTCATCATGTGCAGGGCCTCTGCTTCCACCCTGGGACTTCTCCGCTTCCTTTCCTACTGCATTTCTGTGCCTCCCTTATATGGAGCAGGTATGCTTCCTGTACGTGGATACTGAATCGCCATGTAAAAGGGGCAGGGAATCCAAATAAGTAGCTATGTGCTTATCTTCGTGAAGTTGGCTCCCAACAGAGAAAACAGTGTAGAATTCACTGCCAGAAATGTCCCTTGAGCTCCTGATTCTGTAAGTTATGAAAAAAGGCTTTGAATGTAGCAAAGCTTTTCATTCTGCAGTGATAAACATAGGTGCCAGAAAACCTACAGACGAGCAATGTAATGGAAGCTCATTCACCCTAGCACATTTTTTGCACTAAATGACAGTAAACAGGAGTGAGTGGTAAGTTTGTGAAGCAGAGATTTAGCAACACTTGCATCTTCCTTACTTTTTAAAGTGCTTTGGTGCCATTGGTGGGTTCTTCAGTGTCTGTGAACAGTTAATACTTCTGTATTAGCCCCACACAAAAGTGAGAAGAATTACTCCTAAGTATCTCTTTATTGATGGGCATATGGGAAAATGCATGTATGTTTTTGTTTTGTGGTGTTGTTAACTGAAATTACCAGTTAACGTATATGGAAATAATGGAGTAGCTTTCTCTTTCTCTTGTTTTTGATTTTCTCTTGCATACATTGCATGCTATTGCTACAGCCCACAGCCTGCAAATACATTGATTCTTTCAGAATTATTGCAAAGTAATTGATTTATGGATTGTAGGCTAAGTTAGTGTGCATTTAGAATAACTATCTGGTAATGTGGTACCTAGTGGTTTTATGGTCTCAGAAACAGAAGCATTTTTTTTAAAAAAAAATGCAAATGCTTTTTCCCCCCCTTGAAGTGAGC